CGTTGATCTATAGAGCATTTACTATATGCGACAAAAACAGCATTCAAAACGAACTCAAAGAATTAAAAAACACTCTACAACAAAATGGCTACACACTGCAACAAATAAACAAAGTAATTAAAAAACATCAAAATGAGTCCTCTCAAAATACACCAGCACCAGAACAAACAACAAACTTAAAGAAACGAACCACTTACCTCCCATACATAAAGGGTGTCACAAATAAGATTGGCAGAATCCTGAACAAACACAACATACAAACGGTCTACAAACCACCGAATAAACTAGGACAGATTCTTAACAATCCAAAAGACAAAAGACCGCCATTAGATACACCAGGAGTGTACAAAATACCTTGTTCATGCGGTAAAGTATACATAGGTGAAACTGATAGAATGATAAGTACACGACTAAAAGAACATCAGTCGGCAGTACGTCTAAAACATTACTTACAATCGGCATTAGCAGAACACCATTTGGAAACTGGTCACAAAATTATGTTTGACCAAACCCAAGTACTAAACAAAACTAGGGCTATTCTGTATATTTTCCCTAGAAACATATACAGAATCTCTGGAGATATACAAACATCCAAACAATCTCAATAGAGACAATGGACATATGACTAGTTCACTATGGCATTCCATCTTGTCATAAACACATCCTCCCCTCCTTCTTACCATTCCACCCCTCCTCCACCACACCCCTTTTACTTTAATCTAGCGCTATAAAAAGGGACACCTGACCAAGAGCATCTCAGTATCAGGCTGCTCTTCAAACCCTAATGAAGTGAGCTGTAATGTTCACGAAACGTCGGTATAAAAATGACACTAACGCGGTTCAAACCCGAAAAAACATCTTTGTATGTTAATCAGTACATCTATTCATGCGACGTGGCGAAAATGTACAGATAAATTCAAGTTCATCCCGACGACCAAAAATTTCAACAAATCTTATTAGATAATCAGAAGCTCATTTTGTTCAAGCTATCAACAGTAACATATGGCCTCGCATGTGCGCTTTATCTAGCTCTCAAGACTGTTCTTCAGTTAATCAAAGATAAAGGTCATAATTTCCCTTTAGCAAATGAAATAATTAAGAAAGCTCGGTACGTCGACAATAATTATGGAGGAGCTGATTCAATCGAGAAAACACGAAAACAAGCTCTACAAGTCTATCAACTTTGCATGGCTAGCGGCTTTCCCTTAAGAAAATGGATGAGTAACCACTCTTCAGTGCTCGATTATATCAAAAAATCATATCACAATCTTGTAACTTCAGTGTCTATTCATGATAACATTATCTACGCGCTAGGATTATCATGGAAAACCACTTCAGACACTCTTCAATTTAATTTAAGTAAATTTCCACCTACACATACAACAAAACGCATCGTATTGTCTCACATTGCGCAATATTTTAATTCTCTCGGGATCCTTTCTCCAATTATCATTAAGACTAAAGTTTTCTTAAAAAAATTATGGGCGATTAAATTATCTTGGGACGAAGTGTTACCTTGTTCTCAATTGCAAACTTGGCAACAAATACTTCAATCAATAGTTGATGGTGAGATTACTAAAATCCCAAGGTGGATGAGTACAAACTCGTTGAAAACTACTGAAATTTATGGATTCTGCGACGCTTCTCAATCAGCTATTGCTGCTGTTATCTATGTGAAAATTAAACAACAAAATGAGCTTGTCCATTTTTTGTTCAAAAACAAAAGTCGCACCTTTAAAACGCATGACGATTCTTTGGCTTGAATTGTCAGCTGCCGTCATGCTTACAAAACTGACTTCTCTGGTTCTATGAGTCTTAAGCTTGCAAAATTTCATGTGCTATCTTTGGACAGATTCTACAATTGTTCTCAGGTGGTTGAACAGTCACCTTTCTCGTTGGAAGAATTTCATCCAAAACCGTGTGTGCTTTATTCAAGATACTTTGTCTCGAACTCGGTGGATACACGTTTCTGGAAGAAACAACCCAGCTGATTGTGCTGTCAGCTGGGTTGTTTCATTAGAGGTCTGTCAGCTTCACACCTTCGTGACTTCCAACTCTTGTGGAAAGGTCCTGTTTGGCTATCAAAATGGCCGAATCACATTTCAACTTTGAATCAACAACTTTTAGAAGAGCGCTTCCCTTTAAGCGCTACAACCTTACAATCGTCCTAATTTCTTGAGCGTGTCTGGGATCTCATTTTGCAATATTCGTTCCTTAGACGACTTTTACGTATAACTGCCTTGTGCAAGAGTCATCCTACGCCTGAAACAAATTCCAAAAACTTTTTTTAGGTTTGCTATTACTTCTGGAGAAATTACGGAAGCTCAAAAATTCTGGATTCAAAAAAAATCCAACAAAATTACTTTGCCAACAAAATCAAATTATTTCTGGACAAGACGGATTTACCAAATTCAAATCCTCTTATTCGATTATATCCGTACATAGATGATAAAAGCTTGCTACGTGTGAGAGGACAATTAGCCAACTCATCACTCAAACATTCAGCCAAACATCCTTATATAATTCCAAAACACTCATCTTTCAGCACTTTGATCATCCAGGACGCACATAAACAAACCTTATGGTTCCACTCAAGACACTTTGACTTACATCCAAAACACATACTGGATTCTAAAGAGGCAGAGCTCCGGTTCGTTCATTCATCCTTAAATGCGTCAAATGTGCTTGCTATCGCCGAATTCAAGCACAAC